ATCTATGGAATGACAGAGGAACTGGTCATGTTCTAGTTGGCTGAGCAGGGCTGTTTTACTCTGATGTAAGGAAACGCTTCCCAGGAATCAGAACTGTCTACCAACAGATTACATTGTGCTGCACTGGTAGTGAGATCCTCTTCACTGGTGGTCTTCAAGCAGAGGCCAGATGAGCTCTAGTCAACTTTCTTTGTCAAAGGGAGTCCTGGTTTGGGTCAGGTGGGTCATAGATTCTGCCGAATCATAGTTTCTGAGGTGGCCTCAGAAACCATTTAGTTCAACTTTTTCACTTTATGGATGCCAGAGAGTAGACATAACTTACTTAAGGCCAAACAGGGGGTATGTAGCAGAAGTAGGACCCAAACCCAGGTCTTTGGAATCTAGGCCATGCCATCTGTCCCTTGGGGGTGGGGGTGGAAGATAGGAGGCAGATGGGGATGGGTGCCCAGGATGGCAGGCCATAGAAGGTTTCTTGCTTCCCCAACATGTACCATCTCCATCCCTGGACCCCTCCTTTCTCCTCAGGTCCAGCCCTATCTCAGCTCTGCTTCAGCTGTACCCCCAAAGTAATGGCTCAAACAAAGGTCTTGTCCAGTCCTCCCTCCTCCTTGCCTGTGGAGGTCAGTATCATTGGTTAGCACTTGGGGAGACTTTAAGGGCTTCAGAAATCTGAGCCTTAATCATTTATGCCCTTTCTAGACCCTGTCTCAGGATCATGGCATCTCTGTAACACAGAAACTGACAGACAGACAGATCCTTAGAAAGCAGCCATCAAGCTGATTAATAGAGAGGAGGATCCACCCTCTTAAGCAGTCCTGTAAATGTCTGTTTTCCTGTTCTTCTTCCCACTAGCCCCCGTGCCCAGGGACAGCGTCCATCATGGACCTTGGGAATCTGCAGGTCAGCCCTCTCTCTGCTCCAAGTTCATGCACAGTTCGACTTTCTCTCCTGGGCTTCAGCCCAGGGTCTGCCTGCCTGCTGGAGATCTTCAGTGCGATGTCCCTTGGGTTCCTCAAACTCAACACAGCCAAACTGAGCTTATCATCTCCTCCCACCCTCCTCTATGGAAGATTTCACCAATCAATCAGTCAATCAACATAGCTCCTGCTACATGCCAAGTCCTGTGCTGCTGGGCACAGAAGCTACAGAGGCAGGAACACCCCTGAGAAACTGACATTCTAGGGAATATCAATTAGCTAGGAAAAGAGTATGTGCACATATAAAATGTCCCCAAACAGACAAAATAAATACAAAGTCATTTCATCTCATGGGTGAGGGGTGAAAACTAGTAAGGGGGGGTGGTCATGAGAGGGGCAGGAGTGGAAATTAGAAAGACTCTCCTGTGGGAGGTGGCACCCTCTACTTCTCCCTCTCTCTTACCCCCCATATTCAATCAGTTGCCAAGTTTCATCAATTCACCCTCCACTGTATCTCTCAGACCCTTCTCTGCCCTTCTTTGGCCACCACCCTAGTTCAGGCCCTCTAAAGTCTTTTGCTTGGACTCCTATCATGGTCTCTTTATTCATCTCCCTGCCCAAATCTCTTCTCCCTTCTCCAATGCATCTTCCACAGAGCTGCCAAACAATCTTCCCTAGGACACAGGCCTCCTATGGAGACAACAGTCTTCAGCTCAAAAAACTTGAGTGTCTGACTCCCTGCTGTCTGAATAATGGCATGTTTTCTCGGGTTTACCAAATGCTTTACAATCCTAATTTCATTCCATCTCCATGGTAGCCCAGTTGAGGCAGGAGCGGCTGGCATTATTATCCCCATTTTACAGATGAGAAAACTGAGTCTCAGAAAAGCTAAGTGATGACCACAGTTAAAATCAGAAATGGAAACTAAGTCCAAGCTTAGCTTTCTAACTCCTATGCTTGACTTCTGATGTACAAAGTCTTCAGCCTGGCATTCAAGGTCCTTCCCAAACTATCTCCACCATAATTCTCCAAGCTTTCTGCATATTACTACCATTCACACATTCTACTTTTCATCCAAACTGACCTACTATTTCCCAAGCCTGGTGTTCCATCTTAGCGTCCCCCATAATTCTCACTCTAGGCACATAGCCCCTCCTCATTTCTCTCTTTCAGAGTCCCTTTCTCCCTTTTCAGAGTCTCCCTTTCAGAGGCCAATAAGCTCACTACAAGGAACCTAACCTTGGAAGCTCTCCAGGGCTGCCCCTGACATTCAAGGCTCAGTGAGTTCCCCATCACTGCTTTCACAGAGAGCTCAGCAAGCACAGTGTAGGCAGTTCCTACAGAGAGAGTCTTAATGCTACCCCGGAGGGAAGTCTCTAGTGGTGTACCTGAGCACAGCACTCAGCATGGTATCTGACATAAAGTAGGCATTTAAATGCTTATTAACTGACAGTCCTGTTCAATAACTTTTATCAATTGCTTGAATCAAAGCAGGGATGGCCCAATTATCAAATGGGCAGATGGCTTGAAGCTGGAAATGATAATAAACACATTGATGATGGAATGTGGTATGAATTTCAATAGGACCAAATGTAAAGTTTTATAGTTTGGGTTCAAAACATTAATTGCCTAAGTACAGTATGGAGAGAGGATGTGTTAAGAGAGCAGTTTCTCTGAAAAGTACCTGGGGAAAGACTTTATTTGAATCCACAGTGCAACATGGCTGCCAAAAAGCTGGTGAGACAGGCATGGTACTAGAATGAAGGAGATGAGGGTGGTGCCCTGGCCTCTGCCCTGGTCTGAGCACAACTGGTCCCTGTGCTGTGGGGCCTTCTTTGAGGAAGGACACCGTGGACCTAGCATGAGAGGCAGACCAAGATGAGGTAAGGATTCAGAATTCTTCCAAATGCTAATTGTCTTAAGGAACAGGGGATATTTGGCCTCAAAACAACTCAAAGGGGACATGCTTCCTTACATCTATTGAATGACAGAGGAACTGGTCATGTTCTAGTTGGCTGAGCAGGGCTGTTTTACTCTGATGTAAGGAAACGCTTCCCAGGAATCAGAACTGTCTACCAATAGATTACATTGTGCTGCACTGGTAGTGAGATCCTCTTCACTGGTGGTCTTCAAGCAGAGGCCAGACGAGCTCTAGTCAACTTTCTTTGTCAAAGGGAGTCCTGGTTTGGGTCAGGTGGACAATCTCCCTGCAGACCCAGGAAACTCTGCACTTGGTGAATCTGTTGTTGTGGAAAGGGAGCACCTGACTTCCCTATTCCAGCCTACAGCATTGGGAGTTGGGCCCTGCTGATCCTTCCAGGCCCTTCAGGACTCCTGGGGTTGTGAGCCCTGCCTTGTCAAGGCATCAAGGGCTGAATACCTCACCCCTAATCACTCTGAGAGAGCAGGGACTAAACTCACCTGTAGAACCAACAGGTAGGGGCTCCAACCCCCCAGGGCCCTGGCAGCCCAGCCCAGCCCAGAGAGCCCCATACAGTTGGTAAGACGGTGAGTCAGGGACTCCTCACTCTGTGCCCTCCCCACCCCAGGGGCCAAGGGGTAGGGCCTCAACCTCAGGAGAGAGACAGGTGTGATGGCCTCAGCCAAAACAACCTATTAATCCCCCTAGGATGTAACCAGTTAGCCCTCTCTTCATCCTCTCCTCCACTGCAATTGAAGTACTTCTAACCTCCTGTCTTCTTCCGGGGTCTGGCCTCCCCCTCCCCCACTGCTATCTGTCTCCCTCTTCGAACATTCACACACACTCCTCCTGTGACCTAGGGGTCCCAATCTCCCTAGTTCTCCGTCTTCCCCACCTCCAACTGACTAGTCTCCTGGGATATCCCCTGCCAACCTACCTTTCTTGGTATGCCCTCTCTCCCCTCCCCATTCTCTGGGGCGCTGTCCCAGGTGCCAGGAGGCCCACTGGAAGCTGGAAGAGGCCCGCCCGTGGAGTAACTACCAGGTGAGCAGCCCAGGGCAAGAGGCGGGAGGGGATAGGACTCTGGGGGACTGACGAGACTAGGGGGCCCTCCGTCCTGCTCCCGCCCCTGCCCTGCCCTGCCCTACCCAGCTCAGCCCCGAGATCCGGATCAGGTGACTCCAGAGCTGGAATTTGACACCAGACGGCTGCCGAGGCGCAGGCAACGAGCAGAATGAAGAGGGATGGAGCTGGGCTCAGCCCCTCAGACGGGGCCCCAAAGCCTGCAGTCCCGGCTAGCCTCTGGTTCCTCTCTTCGAGACCCGACGCTTTCTGGGCGCGGGGCCACCCTGTGCCCACCTCCACGCGCTGACCGGTGAGTCCCGCCGTGGCCCCTTTTTCCACGGTGTCCCACCCCCACCCCCACCCCCACCCCCACCCCCTCGGCTCCCGGGGCCCTGACAGGTTGGGCCATATCTCCTCAGTACGGAGCAGCGGCTCCGGGTTCGGCCCCCGCCCTCCTCCTGCCCCGTTCTCGAGGGCCATCCAGTCCGTCAGCGAGTCGTGTAGTCCATCCCCTCTGCCTCAGCGGATCCCGGAGTTCGAGCAGAAGGGGGCCCTCCCTTGGATCGGGGTCAGGCTGCTGGGGGCCCCCCGGAAGGAGGAGGCGGGCCCCAGGCAGAGAAGTAGCCAGTGGCGCAGGCCACGATCCCCGTGGCGGGCGTCCGTCCAGCAGCCACCTCCTCAGCCGTCCCGCTCCTCCCTCCCTCCCTCCGTCTGTGGCCCGGGACCCCTAGTGCCCCCACGGGACCCCTAATCCGGGGCCGCCTCCTCCCACGCCCCCTTCCAGCCCGGCCCAGCCCCGTCCCGTCTGGTCTTGCCCCGCCCCGCCCCGCCCCGCCCTGCCCGGCCCTGCCCCGCGCTGGCTGCCGGTAAGACCGCCCCCCTAGCTCCCCAGCCCCCTGCCCGCCCGCCCGCCCGCAGCCCGCCCGGCCCCCAACCCGCCCCTCGCAGGCAGTAGTAACTCGAGTTCCCGTCGCGGCCTCAGGGAGCCCAGTCAGGCTCGGTGCAGAGCTGTGGCGGGCAAGCGGGCGGAAGCCCCAGGTGCGGAGCCCCAGGTGCGGAGCCCCAACATGATCCCGCGGAGCTCTGGCTCCTAACAAGGCGTCCCCAGGGACAGGGGCCCAGGACGCCGACATCGCTGCTCAGAAGGAGAAGGTAAGTACCTGCGTCCCCAGGGCGAAGTCCTTGAGCCTCCATGACTGGCTCCCTAAAGGGTCCAGGAGGAGCCGGGAGGAGAGACTAGCCGGCCTGGCGTGGCATGGAATGGGGGTGTGGAGGGAGACATGGTCCCCCTTGAACCTCCTGCCCACTCCTACCCTCCACCCCACTCTCGGCAGAGCTGGGAGAGCCTAGTAGGCAGAGCCCTGTGGAAGTATGCCTGCTCTTTGGGAAGCAGGGGTGAGGGGGGAGGCGCGCGCGGCATCAGCATCTTCTTCCAAAAGCAGGCTCAGCTGGGGAGGGGGAAGGTGAAAAAGGATGCTGAGGGAAAGACCAGAGGGCTGAGCCCTAGCCTCTTTCCTCCCAGCTCCCAAGCTAGGGGAGCCCTAGGGAGAGAAATCTTAGAGGCAGTAGCATGGGCTGAACTTAATGCCAAGGGAGCCAACGGGGCATCAGCAACTCCCAGGAGATCGACAGCAGCAGGTGCCACAGGGAAAGGAGGTTGGGGTAAGGAAAAGAAGCTCTGATGATGGCCTGGCTATCTAGGAAGGCTTCCTGGAGGAGGGATAAGGGGTGAAGACTCTTAAAGGCCAGGAAGGGGAGAGGGTGATACCATCTAGAGGGAGGAAGGAAGCAGGCCAGCTTGGCCTGACCAGAGGCCTTAGGGATCCCCAAAGCTCCAAATTGGAAAGGACTTAGGCATCCACTTAGGCCAACCCAGAACCACCACCATATCCCCACAAAGTGGCCATGGAGGCTGGTTGGGCCCCATTAGGCCTTATACCCACTCCCTAGCCCAGGCTGGCCAGTGCAGGCCACAGCAGCTTGGCCCTAGAACCAGCTGAGTAGATCAGACAGAGACCACAGGGAGTGGCCCTGCCTTCCTCCACTAGCAGTGCTTTGGATCTTTCCAATCAGGGGCTGCCCACATGTCCCATCAAACTTGGGCTTAGGTTTTCTGGGGGGCAGTTCCAACAGGTAGCATCATCTGCAAGAGGCCCAGCCTATGCCTGGGGGGTCATTGTGCCCACAGGCCTGCAGAGTTGGGAATTCTGACTTCTGACCAGGCTAGCAATAAACCTCTCATGTCTCAAAACCTGATCAAGGAGGGAGAAGAGATTGGTTTGGCTGGGAGTGTCCGGTAAGAAGGTCAGAACAGGACAAGTTTGGGCAAAACAATGTCAGAGAACTAAGTTGGAGCTCCTGTGTGCTGGGCCAGGACTGGGGACCCAAGGTGAAAGGCTGGGGGCTCAGGGCTAGAGGGACCCAGTGGAGCCATAGAATGACCCAGGGCTCCAGTGCAGGAGGACTCAGGGACATCTTCAGGAGCTATCGGGATAGAAGCCTGCCCCATGGTACATAGCACATAGCCAGAGCCTTGCATCTTGAATCCAGGGGCTAGCCTTGTTTGGCACAGACAGTGAAAACTCCCCAGCCCTCCCCACCTCCTAGGGCTCTGCAGAAGAGCCCCAGACAGGTGGGAGACCTAAGGCCCTCCTGGAGGGCAAAGACAACAAAGGGACCAAGATGGGCACTGTCCGCCTGGGGCCCGTGGCCTAACAACAGGTGGAAACTGCAGAAGGGACCAGGCCATGGCTACTGACCTCCCTGGTGATCAGGCAGAGGCTGTCACCTGGTGGCCGCTCAGAGCTACAGCAGGGCCTCCTCTCAGGGCGAAAGAAGTCACTTTCTTAGCTGCCTTCACAAGGTGCATGGGGACATGGTGGGGAGACCGAGGGGCCAGCATGTGTCAGTGGTTACCCAAGCTTTGGTCTTAGCCAAGGCTCTGGTTCAGGTCAATATGACATGCCATTTGCGACTAGAATGACACACATGCCTCGACGAGGCTGCTCTTGAACTCAGGCCAAAGGTGGGGACGTGGGCACATAGTCCTTGTCTGATTCTACCCACCTATGTGACTGAAGGTTTGTTTCTGTATTAATCCGTACCTCCATTTACTCCCCTGTCATGATCATCTCCGTCCTGCCTTCTTCCCAAGGCTGTTACACATAATTCCCATTTCTCTAGCACTCTGCACCTACCCAGCACTTTCCATATATCACCCTGCCCATGGGAGGCAGGTAGCATCCATATATCACCCACACGTTACATAGGAAGAAGTTAAATCACAGAGAGGCAACTGGCCTTTCTCCAAGGCCCCCAGCTCGGGAGGGGCACTGCTAAGGCCGGAATTCACTTGAGGATCCAGAAAGAGAAGAAGTGAGGGCACCCCAGACATGGGAGTGAGCACAGAACAGAGCAGGCTGACCCCCATGTTCTAGGCTCAGGCTGCATTGGAGTCATACTTGGCCCATCAGCTCAGAGCCATAGAATGTGAGGTCTTGAAGGACCTTTAGAAATCTTCTAATCTACCTCCTCCCCTTTTTACAGAGGAAGACACTGAGGAATGATAATACCTAGCATTTCTATAGTGCTTTAAGACAAAGTGCCTTACCAACATCTTGTTTTATCCTCACAACAACCCTGGGAGATTGGTACTATGATCATATCCATTTTACAGATGAGGAAACTCAGGGAGACAAAGTGACTTGCCCAGGGTCACACAGCTAGTAAATGTCTGAGTCTAGATTTGAACTCAAATCTTCTTCACTTGGGTCCAGTATTCTGTCCATTCTCCCACCCACGTGCCTCAGGCAGCTGAGAGAAGGGTGAGGGTTGCTCCAGAAGCCCCCACTCACCACCTCAGTCCAAAGCAAAGTAGAAGGTAGGGCTCCAGATTTCTTGCTTCTCCTTTCAGGGTTCTTCTCCTGTATGGTGCTTTCCCCTTTGGTTGGGGGTGCTGGCAGCTAGAGGGAGGGGCAGAAGAGGAGGGATTCAGAAGCCAGCAGCCTCCTGAGGACCAAGATGGTGTGGAGAAGGAAGACCCCCAGAGACCTTCCCAAGAGACTGGTCAGTGGCGCCAAGCCCTTCTCTCCCTCAATCTTATCTGGGCCAGGGGGACCACTGAGGCTGGGAGGAAGGGCCTCTTGGAGTCCAGAGGCAGAGGCTGAAGAGAGAGGAAGGCCTCATTAGTGGTAGAGGATGGGCAGAATACTAGCAGAATATTAGGCTGACAGCAAAGCCCTGGGGAAAGGCCCCAGGGGAAAGGTCCCAGAAGGGTGGAAGGGGAGAAAAGGAGGGGGCAGGCAGAGCCTCAGGGGTGGTTGACTTTGAGGAGAGCTCCAGTATAAGAGTGGGAGGGACCCCAAATGAGAAGAATTTAGAAAGGGTGGGCTAGGGTTGCCTAGCACGGGAAAGGTGAAGGGAGAGGTCTGATGGGGCTTCTAGCTTTAAATTCCGAAAGCGCAAGTCTGACCCTCCTCAGACTCCTTTGGCTCCCTATTGCCTCTAACATCAAATATAAAATCCTCTGTTTGATGTTTTAAGCCCTTCCTACCTTTCCAAACTTCTTCCTTTTTAATCCCCTGCATACACTCTTTGATCAAGTGGCACCGGGCTTTCTTGCTGTTCCTCACACACAACACTCTGTCTCTTGACCATGCCTTTGCACTGGCTGTGTGCCCCATGCCTGGAATGCCCTCCCTCTGCACCTTTGCCTCTTGGCTTCCCTGTCTTGCTTCTACACTCAGCCTAAACCCCAACTTCTTCAAGAAGCTTTTCAGCTGAAAGGCATGCGGATGAGGCAGTTTGGGGGAGAGAGTCAAGGGAGTATAGGGTGCTGGGTGAGGTAGACTGAGAAAGGTTTCGGGTCTCAGGATGGAGTCTAGGAGCAGGGGGGTGGGGAGAGTAGGGCCCCTGGGCTCCAGACACCTGGTCCTCATCTCTCCAGCCCACTGGCCCACACACCTCATAGTCCA